TATTTTATGATTAATTGAAATCACCAGTATCCCATGATGCATCCTCCTCAGTCAGAGAGTAGACTACACTGCATGATAATGTAGTCTAATCAGAGATCCCACCACAGAGGGAGAATAGGGGCATGACGTACCATGATATTGAGGTAGGTAGACACAGATTAATCTTCAATTGACCCAAAATATAATGTTTTGATTTGGTTTACAAAACAAAATGTTTCTATTTGACTCAACCCGATCTGAAACAAAATATTTTCTTTAGATTTTTCAACAGAATTTCTGGAGGGAGAGAAGGAGACAAAGTATTTTCCTACAGAAAATTTTGATTTTGCACAAACCACAATTTTAATTTAAAAAAAAATTGATGGAAAATTCACAAACAGCTTTAATATTTATACTGTAAAAAAGGTACACCTTGATTTTCATGTACAGTGTGAGTGCTGAATGACTACATATTAATATTGAACTGAAACATAAACAAGGATATTTCCTCATAATCTGACTTTATTATAGACAGCCACTGTTGCACATGCTACTCTTAGTGCTTATTATAACACTGGGCAGTGGTATCTTTTCCACGTTGTGGTGATACAAAACTAGATGGTGGTGGGTTTTTTTTTTTTACACCTTTGAAGGCCGCTGTGGCTTTAAGAACAAATACGGTAGCACACTTATTCAAAGATTTGCCACAAAACATGGAACAGCTAGTTCCCATGTTTCAATGGTGAACTATAAATAAAATCCTGTTGCTATTAGGAAAAGTAAGGGATACTATTCCTCAAAAAAAGAAAGAAAAGGCTATGTATTTTAGGCCATTTGAAAGGACTTTTAGGGTACGTCTATACAGCGGTGCTATTTCAGGATATATCTGGTATCCCAAAATAACATTTTCTGCTCGTTATTTCGAAATGCAATCAAAATAATGGACTTGTTATTACAACATCCCAGTAAATCTCGCTCCATGAGGATTAAGGGACTTGTCAGAATAGTGGTCTATTTCAAAATTTGGTGCTGTGTAGACTGCGCCAAATTTCAAAATAAACGGTCTTGAAATAAGCTCAAAATAAGATACATAATATGTGTAGCTCAAATTGTGCAGCTTATTACAAGCTAGCACTACTGTATAGATGCACCCTTAAAAACTGAATTTGTGGTCCTGAGGTGATCTGGTCCTTTATGTTTCTGAGGCACTATTTCAAACAGATTTGGGAGAGGGCAAAATTGTGTCAGCATATAGAACATTACATTGTATTCTGCAAAGTTGGGAAAGTGGATAGGAGGGTAGAGAAGACATACTGGAACATATAAGCCCATGAAAAGTTAAGGAAGGGGCAACTGCTCTTTTCCCCTTAGTAAATGATGCTCCTGATATGTTTATACCATACAAATGTATGGTAAGTCACTATCAAATATTTTTGTTAAAAAGAACTATGGTTCCACTTAAGTCCCCCCCTACAAACTATTACACTTTCTTGACAAAATTTTACACCTTTAGAATTCCTTCTGAAATGTTAATAATGTCTGAAAATGAATGATTAAGGGATCTAATCAATGTAACACATCACTACTATCGCCTCACTGATTTACCCAGCTCTGGGTAAAACATTTTTGGTCCCCTTCTTTGTTTTGATCTGTGATGGAATGGTAATTTTATATAGGGCTCTACTTTCAATGGTGCACTGCACTGGCCAAATTTTGCTCCCATTTAAGTGAATGGTAAAACTCTCATTGGCTTATATCTGTCCTTAAGTTAACCATTATTTCAATGGGTGCAGAGTTAGGCCAATGCTGAACGTTTTGAAAATCTCATTTTATGTGTGTAAAGTAATATATCTAGAAAATGTTAAGCTAGAATTAAGGAGGGATCATGATAACCATGTTGGAAATTAGAAAATTAAAAAAAAAATTCAATTGAATTTCCTAAGGATGATCTATATATAGAAGATAACTCAAACTGTTAAATAAGGGACTAGATAACTGAGTCTTTTTACACTGCTTATTATATTTTACAATTTACCCAGATATTCTTATGGGATATATAGATGGGAGAAAAGAAGGCAAATAGGAAATTTCAGAACAGCTTACAGCATATGGTTAGCATATATGTCTCTGTAAGGGCCAGTTTTCTCAGATAAGTAGAAAGAGACAAAATGTAAGTAAAATAATTTGATTAAGGTCATCTAACATGCTGAAGACTCAGCCAGGATTAGAACCAGGATGTACCTGGCTTTCAGTCTTTTGCTGAGGTCACTAGACCACATGTACTATTAAACATGCTTATGTGGTTTCTAAATACAGTACAGAGCTCTGAACACATGTCTCATGACACCTATATTAATCCTGCTCAGGCATCTATGTTACTCACTGGGGGATCACATTGGTGTGTTGTTAGGATATGTCAAACTCTATGTAGCAAAGCTGTTTTAAAGTGTTCTTTTGCTAAAAAAGAACTGGCTTGTCTGTTTCTTCAGAGAAGGGAGTGATGAACAGAGTATAAATAGCTAAACATACTACCAGGAAGATGACACAATGAGGATAAGAAGCAGGATGATCCTTGGGTATTCCACTTCTGTTTTTTCCAATCTATAATTCATCAAAGCACAAAGGGCCAAGCCATTCCCAAATATGCAGCTTATGCAAAACTATTAACAAATACAGACAGTTCTGGAATGCCTACCTTTTTTACTAATCTGCTTTCTGGGTGACATTGGTGTGTCTGTATTCTGGCAACAATTCTGTGTCTCACATTTTTTCTCAGTTTCTTCAGAGCTGGATTTAACTAACTGCTCTATTGGACATGCTACAGGCTCTGTTCTTGAATGATCAGATAATTGGCTTATCTCTTGTTCACTGCAAAGGTTCTCATTTGTTTCTTTGGTAAATGTGCTCTCGGTGAAAACTTTCTTATCTTTGGGACTCATTGAGGAGCTGGACATTGAGGTAATCTGTGTGGAATCATCATGGAAATTGGCTTCATCAGGAATATTGCTGGATATGTCCCGGATCTCAGAAAAGTTCTGTAATTCATTATCTATATCTGACTCTTCAGTATCCAACAAAGGGGACATACATGATTTTTCTCGTATGCTGTAGGGTAACTTAGGCTCATTTTTTATCTCAGAGCCAAAGGAATCAGCCATCCCCTTACTGTCACTTTGAATGATGAGCCTTCGTTCTCGCTCTCCAGTTATTACAGTCATCACTGATCCTTTCCGTTTCTTTATTGCTACCTCAGGCTCTGGAGTACCTGGATGAGCATACTGACTTGACTGTAGTGCTGAATATTGGCTTTGGACATAGTCTATGCCTACTGTATTAGCTATGCTTTTGTCACTAGCCTGGTCATTTGAAGGGCTTCTTGAAGGAGAAGAGATTGGAATTATCAGGGCTTTATGCTGTATTTCACTATGGTCTTGTCCATCAAAATGATGGTCACTCTCTAGTGTCTCCTCATCAAAACCACTTTCTGTAAACTCAGTGTGTTTATCATATACAGCAAAGTTCTGCAGAGGCTCTGAGTATCTATGCTCCAGTTTCTGTTCTACATTAGAATTAATGCTGGAATTGAAAGTTTCCACTAATGTCTCTTCCATTTCTTTAGGGTCCCCCATATAGTCTGCATAGTGAGTCAAGAAGAAAGCATCATCTATACTTCCTTCAGGCTCTGAATGGTAAATGGTCATGTCATGATTGAAGGAGGTGAAGGCATACTGATAAGATTTGAGAGCTCGCAGACTGCTGAATGATGTGAAGCTGGAACATTTACAAAGTTCTGTACAGCTAGTATGAGTCTGAGTATTCTTGCTGTAAACATCTATTGCTTTGGCCTGCTTGGGCAGTACTTTTAAGGATAAAGATGGCAATGAATAAAAGCCAGAGTCTCTTCTGAGGTGAACTGGTGACAATACATCAACGGTGGTATCTGGAAAAGACTTTCTTCTAACTGCTTTTGGCTCCGGATATGAAGCTAACGTAGTATTCTTTATGTCAACAAGACTGTGGTTTCTTATTTGCCCTGCTTCATTGGTCTCATCTATAGGTTTCTGACCAAAGCTTTTTTCACTTGATCCATTAGTATCTAAAGGGCAATCACTATTATAACTAAATTCTGAGAAGATTATCTTGTCTTTACAGCTGTCTTCTTTTTCACTGGCAAAATCCTGAGTCCCAGTTTCCTCCAGTTTACAGATATGAGTTCCTTCCTCCCAAACTGGTAAGGCCGTAGGAAAGGTGTCAGGTTCCTTTCTGTCACTGATTGGGAGCAAGGATGCAACCTCTGCAGGGGTAGCTAAACATATTTCTTTGCTGTCAGCAAACTCTTCAGGTGGAGGAAGAAGAAGATACCAGTCTGTATATGTATCGTTTGTAAAAGACTCTTCCTTTTCATGAAGGCTAAAATCTGACTCATAATCCGTGCTGCAAGATACCTCTGTTACAGAATAGTCTGTATCACTGGAATAAGTGTTTGAATATTTCTTGCTGCAAGTTCTGTCATGGGTCTGTGTGTGCTTACCTGATTCTATATGAATTATTGGATTTTGCTTTCTATTGTAGTATTTCACTTTAATTTCCGTTCCTACAATGCTTACTTTCAGTATGATGTTCTTGTTGCTGGCAATTTGTATTTTGTGCTTAGAGGATGCCTTGTAATTCTCATTGTCATCTACAGAATGATCATTTGATAGACCTTGGTGCTTATGACATGTAGAAGAGTGACTTTTCTGATATTGCTTGTTGCGATAGCACTTTCTGTTCTTTTGACTTTTCTCAATTACAAAGCTTGTACCAGAATCAAATAATGATCCCTTCTTCATTTCTACTTTCATATTAAAACCACCACATTTTAATTCTGCAGTAGTTACTTCACTAGCTGAATCACAGGACTCTGGAGAACTTGGGTTGTGCTTCAATGTAATTTTTCCTTTTGGTAAGGCTTCTGATTCATCAAAAGTGAATGCAGCCAGGAGAATTCCAGTGGAGAGCAATCTTTTTCCTTCCCACCTTCTTTTTCACTGTCATCTGTATATTCTTGTTCTTTATCTTCACATGCACCTGAGTTATTCTGTTGCTCATTCTTTGGTGCACAAGAATCATCTCTCCTATTTCTTTCAGACTGCTCCGTATCTACTGGCTCAGAGAAGTTAGCTTCTACTGCGTCCTCATCTGCTTTATTTGTAAGGCCTTTTACATTTTGCTGGCATTTACAAATGGCTGGCAAATGTTCATCTAAATGGAAAAAAGGATGAAAGGCTTTTGTAAAGATCTATGTAAGCAGCATCTTAGTCTTACAGTGTTTTTCATACTCAGTACTTATGTCACCGAAGGGTAATACTTTAGAAATCCATACATATCATAAGAATTGACCTATTTTTCTTCTTTTTAGTATCAATCTACTACACATTTAATGTAAATGCAAATTATTTGTTTTGTACTGTAAAACCAAGTAAGCAGTCTCTCTCACACCAAGAATCAGCCTACCCATCTGGAATTAGTAACAACCACTCATTTTTATCCTTAAAATGCTCACACATGAGATTTTACACAGTACAAATGTACTATGGCATAATGTGTTCATTTAGAAAGATCTATTTTTCTTTCTCTTGTCCCCTAGGATATTTGTTCCTCTCCTGAGCACACATGGAACAATCAATAGCTTATTGAATGTGCAATTTTGGATACATTATATGAGAGCTGTACTTATTATAATCCTTTTACAGATGAGCAAACAAGGAGATTAATTAATTTAACCAAGGTCACACAGAAAGCCAGTGCCCAGGCATCATAATATGCTATCAGACAACACTGTTTCCCAATGGGAGTTGTACTGTGCAAGATTTCATTTGTAAATTATATGAAAATACATCTGCTTTGAGCCCTTTTTGAATAGTCTTTAAATAACAGAGAACAATAGATTATAGTAACATCTATTACATTAGGATTAGTTCATATGTTATGCTTTATATACTTTCAGAAATATTATTTTCATTTGTGTCCATATTATAATTTCTCCACATAATAAATCTGAAGTAAATTTGGAACATTTAAACACCACCTTTGACTGCACATTTGCAGAAAGAGAGAAGATACAGTCCAACACCAAGTCTCAGGAAGCTATCATCTCTGTTTATTTAATAACGATGATTTGGCATGAGCATAAAACAAATAGCCCTCGCAGGAAATAGCTTTAGGGATCTTAGATCTCAGTCTTTAATCTTGTTTTAATTATGCTACTATAAATCAAGTATTTATAGAAAATCTCTAGAAAATGATCAGCTCGGATGCTTGTGCTATATATTCAAACTAACTATTTCAGTGAACTTACATTCTCTGGCATCTGAGCTTTTTCTGCCCTTGCAGCTTTTTCTTCTCTTTCTGCTCATTTCTGAGACCTGAGGACATCCAGATTTTACTCTCCTGGGTGGGGAAGAAAAAACATTGAATCATAAAAATTATTCCCTCTGTAACTGCAAGGTTGCTTTCTTTTCTATTATGGCTTCTCTTCTTGAGTCCAGTAGGACTACAGATTGGAATTCTGAATTGGAAATTGGAGCTTGAGCTTCTAGTTGTTTTGCTTCATGATTCAGGGACAGATTTTCTAATCTGTTTAGATACCAAGATTGCAGATAGGGTCTAGTGAGATTTTCAGAGGCACGGTCCCAATCTGGTAGCTGGTTCTTCCCATGCTTTAGGATGTGGGGTGGTCACTCAGCATTGTGGGGATGCAATGGAGGTGAGAGGCTTGTGCCAAAGCTCCATTCACTCTTTGCTCTTTTGTATTGGAGTGGGCTGCTCTCCCACCAGGGCGGTTACCTACAGTGTGGGTAATCCATGCAAGGGACTAAGAGAAGAACTTATACAATGTAGTTGTTAGTCCTTTTGGACACACACAGGGAAATGATACAAAGACAAAATCACTCTATCATCTGAACATTTTTCACAAAGCAGTAATTCCATATCTGACCTCATCCTCAAAGGAAACCTGCACAGCCCTTTCAAAAACACAGCCTATTAACTCTGTTAGGCACTAAAAATCATGAACTGAACAGAGAAACAGGATTCAATAGCTAACTACGGGGCTGTGCTCTCTGCTCACTATGCTTGCCTACCCTCTCCTCCCTCCCTCCCGGCTGCTCTCACTTTGCTGAGAGAGGCTGATGCTGTGA